TGAAAAGCAGGGGAGGTTTAAGGTCGAATTTTCAACCTGTATATAGTCAAGACCTTAAATGGGTCGAAAATCACAGGTCTACACAAGCCCAATCAGAAACTGAAAGCAAAAAATGAGAAAAAGAAGAAGACAAACGACCAAAAGGAAAAGTCTGAACCTGGGTTGACAGATGCCCAGGCAAACAATCTGCTCCATAAAAGGGGGGGAGGGGGGGCACTACTAGAATCTAAACGAGGGGTAGTCAACCTGGTCCATCCGCACAAGAGTACGAAGGCAGAGAGGGGCGTCATCCAGATGGAAAGTGCTAGATCCGGTAGCGAACCGACTAATGTGTGGATCTGATGCGCATAAGCGGGTGTTGAATCTGTTACGAGACCTGGTGACCAGAGTTCAAGAGGGTGGCGACAGCGGCAACATCCAGCTCAATCCAAAGAGGGGCGTGGAAGGCGGCAGTGAGAGCTCCGTTATGATCCCTAATCAGGCTCCCGCCTCCGGCGGCTCCGGTAAGTCGGTCGAAAGATCCGTCAATGTTTAGCTTAACCCAAGGAGAGTCAAGTCTCAGCCAAACAATGACTTTGGGGCGTGGGTGTTGGACATGCGACAGTAGAGATATACAAAGCGGTGGGGCGACGTGTAGCATGTCTAGTCTCTAGATGTGAGTCTGCATAGAGCTGTGAGGAGGGAGAAATGTCGATCAACTTGCAAAACAATGTGAGAACATATAAAAGTAATATCACTATGCTTCGCACTATTCATTTATGTCCATATGAACCACAAGATCAAGGGATGAGGAAGCCCACGTATCTAAAGTGTGTGCGCTGTGAGAAAAAAAATCGGGAGCACAAAAAAACTGCATGCAGTGTGTTGGGGTACATGAGTATAAATGTCAAAATACTTTTACACTCTCCTCGCAACCTTGCTCTCTAAAAACAAATGGAAAAAGTCTCACTTTGAAAATCGTTGGTATCAGTACAACAGTAACACAACGAGGGGAAGGAAACTCCCTCTTGCTTGCAACACAGAGTCGATCGAAATCTAACAAAAGAAGGCGCCAAAGAACGATAGAGATGGTCGGGTAAGCATGTAAGTCTCCACTTCTGAACCGTCATCCGATATGGAAAATAATATTGAGTAAACTTGAACTAAATTCGATTTAAATTTCAAATATACAAAATTATATCCAATGTAATTTCAAAAGAAAAAAATTATATTAAAATAAATAAATTCTCCATAATTCGCACCCTAAATCCTGTCGTGGGACGGATAAAGAGTTTTATATTGTTTTTTTCTCATATAAACGTAATCGACCACAGGTCCTCCCTCTCCCCTGCTTCCCCCTTGAAGAGAACATTATCGCCGGCAAGGAAGAGCCGAAGAGGCGGCTTAGTTCAACTCTCAGGCGAGGTGAGTTATTCCCTCAATCCAACTCCGCATTCCATTTTCCTTTCCGTATTCGAGCAAATTCAAGTTCCTTACTCTGTAAATGACCTAATTTCGATTCCCTTTTGTTCATTCTCCCAATATCTGTCTAATACCGTTCATGGAGACATTATCATATCGATTAGAACCTCGTTCATCCATTCTCTCTGTGATTTAGTTCTTTTCAGATCGATATATTCGCCCAGAAAGAGGAAAGGCGAGAAAGAAAGAAGATGGATGAGTATCAGGAGATGGAGAGGTTCGGCATGGATAACGACTACGAAGACGGCCAGTGGATTGGCGGTGAATTCTACGGCCGCCGCAGGCAGAAGCGCACCCAGACCAAAGACGACGTTCTATACGGTGTGTTTGCCTCAGGTGACAGTGATTCCGACTCTTACGAAGGTTTGGGATCCAAAAAACGCCGCAAAGACTTATCCAAGAGTACCGACTACTCCAAACCTGTCAGCTTTGTCTCCACTGGCTCAGTTATGCCCAGTCAGGAAATCGATCGCGATTCCAAAAAAGATAAAGAAATACGAGACCAGGATCCAAAGGATACTGCTCGTGAAGAAAATGTGGAAGTGGACGATTTTTTGCCTACCACCTTGATGGGTGACTTGGTCCGAGCGGGCGGCGAGAGGCGTGAGAAGGAAAAGGAGAAATCGAAGCAAACCAAGAAGCCTGCTCAAGCTAGCACCAGGCGGGGCCCAGACCCGAACGGGGCCGGCTCGTTCGAGAAGCACACAAAGGGCATTGGGATGAAACTGCTAGAAAAAATGGGATACAAGGGAGGTGGGCTTGGGAAAAACGAGCAAGGAATCACAGCCCCCATCGAGGCCAAAGTCCGGCCCAAGAACATGGGAATGGGTTTCAACGACTATAAGGAGGCGGCCCCGTTGGTACTGCAGGGATTGGACGAGAAAGCAACTCCTGGGCCGACCAGCCTGTCCACGGAGGTTCGTTCGAAAGAAAAGCGTTGGTCGAAGCAAGCTCTGAAAAAGAACAAGAATAAGCAGGCTTTTTTAACTGCCGAGGAGCTGCTTGCTCGGAAGCAGGACCAGGCCACTGAGGTTGTGCAGAAGATTTTTGATATGAGAGGGCCACAGGTCCGGGTACTGACAAATTTGGAGAACTTGAATGCTGAGGAGAAAGCCCGGGAGCAAGATGTTCCCATGCCCGAGCTACAACATAATGTTCAGCTGATAGTTGATCTGGCAGAGCTCGACATACAGAAGCTCGATAGGGATTTGAGAAACGAGAGGGAGACAGTGTTTGCTCTGCAGAATGAAAAGGAGAAGCTGCAAAAAGAGGCAAGTCGCCAAAAGCAACAGCTTGAGAACATGGAGGACATTGTGAGCGTGCTAGACCAAATAGGTGAACAGAGCTCCTCGGGGACGCTAACTTTAGAATCCCTTGCAAATTCGTTCATGGACATGCAGTTGAAATTTGCGGATGACTACACTTTATGCAACTTATCTAGCATTGCATGCTCGTATGCTCTCCCCTTATTTATTCGAATTTTCCAGGGATGGGACCCACTTCAGAACCCGACTCATGGGGTCGAGGTTGTATCCATGTGGAAAAAATTGCTACAAGGGAAGGACTCCCTGAGTTTCTCCGGTGCAGCCTCACCGTACATGCAGCTGCTTATGGAAGTTGTTTTCCCCGCGGTGAGAATATCGGGGACGAATTCTTGGCATGCACGGGACCCGGAGCCCATGCTCAGGTTTCTGGAGTCTTGGGATGAACTTCTGCCACCAGTTGTCCTGCAGACCATATTAGACACTGTGATTATGCCCAAATTATCGGCCGCTGTCGACTCGTGGGATCCGCGCAGGGAGACCATCCCAATCCATTCGTGGGTCCACCCGTGGCTGCCGTTGTTGGGCCAGAAGCTGGAATCCTGCTACCACACAATACGCCACAGGCTTGCAAGCGTCCTACATGCCTGGCACCCAAGTGACATGTCTGCCTATTACATACTCTCCCCGTGGAAGACTGTGTTCGACCCCGCAAACTGGGAGCAGCTAATGGTTCGGTACATAATTCCAAAGCTTTTGATGGTCATGCACGAGCTAACGATAAATCCCGCGAACCAGAACCTTGATCAGTTCTACTGGGTGAGGACGTGGGCCACAGCAATACCCACGCACCACATGCTTCCTTTGATGGATATTTTCTTCAACAAGTGGCAGGAAGTCCTGTACCACTGGTTGTGTTCGAAGCCGGATTTCGAGGAGGTGACTAAATGGTACCTTGGATGGAAAGAGCTTCTACCTCCAGAGCTTCAGGCGAATGAGCACATTCGAGCCAGGCTTAACCTCGGCTTGGACATGATGAACCAAGCAGTTGAGGGCATGGAGGTGGTGCCACCAGGCTTGAGGGAGAATATTGGTTATCTGAGGGCCCGTGAACAGAGGCAGTTTGAGACTCAGAAGAAGGCGGCTGCTCAAGCTCAGTCGGAGGGAGTTGGTGGAGGGCACGAGATGAGCTTGAAAGAAGTTATCGAGATACATGCGCAGCAGAATGGCCTGTTGTTCAAGCCTAAGCCTGGGAGAATGCAGGATGGGCACCAGATATATGGGTTTGGTAATATAAGTATAATTGTGGACTCGCTCAATCAGAAGGTGTTTGCCCAGGTGGACGAGAGGTGGAGTCTTGTGTCGCTCGAGCAACTGCTGGATTTGCATAACCGTTCTAGATCGAGACGACATTGAGGTATGATTATGAACATTTTGGATTCTTCTGGGGAACATGTATAAGGAATTTTTGCAGGTTAACTGATTGTGACGATTAGTGTTGTTGGTGTTGTATTCTGTAGTTACTGAATGTGACAATTTTATGTATCTTTTTCATGACTTTTCTTTTCTTTCATGAAATTTTTATGATCTCTGAGAATAGGGTCACTGAGTGCTTTGGAGATTGTGGCACTCAAATTTTTTAGTTTCCTGGAGCATTGAGTTTATAGCCAAGTGCTGTTTGCTAATCTCAGTTTTGTTTGCTAATCTCTGTCTCACCCATCATAGCCATAGGAAAAAGCATTTCATTAGCAAATTAAACTTATTTGAATTCGACTTTGTGGCTACTAATGGTATATGTATATGTTGTCCTAGGCCTGGGAAGGCTGTCCTCTGCTTGAGGAGAAGCACGGGTGACAGGGTTTAACCTGCTTCCACATTTACTTAGAATTAGGTTGAATTTTTTTTTTCTTTGGCCCCTAGTTCCCTTTAAGAAGTATGTATACAGTGTACGCGTGCGTGTGGCGTATTTGCTGCTGATTCAGTGGGATCTCAGATATTTATCTTTGATTTTATTTGGATCATTAGGAGGCAGTTGAAGTCTTTCAGATGTGTCCTAACTTTGAAGATGTGTTACCTGTGTTGCATGTGCAGCTGGGTTTATATAGCTTAAACCAGCTTAGGCCCGGGAACTTGTTTGAGACGTAAATTTCCATATTATAGTTAAGTTAAATAAGTAGGGCAGGTGTAAGGTGATTATGGGCTGGGCTTTTGCTTAGACACTCTAATTATGGGCTGGGCTTTTGCTTAGACACTCTATGACTCTAATTTGTTTCGAGTAGTAGGGTTTAGGTCTCTTAAAGGGGAGAAAAAGAGTAGATGAGCCTTTGGCTTAGGCTATTTGCAATTCCGATTGCCGTTCGCTCTTGGGGCAGGCTTGCCTTCAACTTTTTTTGGTTCTTCCCATTTCTTTCGTTTTCAGTTAATTATCAATTTCAGTTTAGAATTACTTCTCGCAATCCGCCCATCACTCTCATTGTTTTCTAATTTATGCTAGTAAAGGTTGAACATTAACCTTTGTCTGGAGGTCATGCAAGGCACTGCCACAAGTGTTTATTCAAATTTTGTTCATTTAATTGGGGTTTGAAACACGCTTTGCCATATAAGAAACGGTTTTCATATAATCTGGATAGATAGATAGGTCATATGGATTTATACATATTGAGAGAGAATTGGAAAAGAGTCCGTGATAGTTGTATAGATGAACACTGATACCCTACTAAAGGATCCTCCTCCATGCTGAATGTTGTCTCCGGTGGTAAATTATGAACATAAATGCAATACTAATGTAACTGTTTAAGGCAATCTTTACGAAATCTATGCCCTTCCTACGATCATATCAGTTGGTCTCTGATTTGGTGCAAATGCTCTGTTCTGATTTGGTTCAAATGCTCGAAATGCTCCATGGATTCCATGGATTTGGTGCAAGTGCTCGAAATGCTGGGGAATTGATCAAGTATCTTTCTATGCTTTCCTCACCGTCTCTTCTATTTTAAATTGTTATATATGTTAGAGAGATCACGCTAAGATCTACCCTACTCAAAATAAAAATATAATTAATTAGAATTAGGTTGTCTTTGAACCTACCGAGCGTCGGCGAGTCTTGTGTAGCAATATTTACTTTTGTCATAAATCTTTTGTAGCGATTGAATAGAATTTATGCTTTATAAATATTACACAACCTCATTCTTGCCTCAACTGTTTGTTTCTTTAATTTTTTTAATTGTTATCTTATTTAGATCTTGGATTCACTAGACGCTAGTGGATGTCCTTGTGCTTGAGAATAGGCCATCTGCACATTTACAGAATCTGTTGACAGATCAGATCTGAAGGAGACTCCGAGTCTGTCCGGTTATTTTGAGAGGGGAAAGCGTGGGGGCAGAAGAGATGTGCCCATGTGCAGCTGGGTTGTAAGAAGGGCGACTAGTACAATTTGAACCCCGTGAAATTGGACTTAAAAGGCGGGAGAAAACGAGTGTTTTACGGTCATCTGGCGTCTCTGTGCTTATCTAGACAAAGGTAACTTTCGAAACTTGCTGGGATGTTATTCTGCAATCCAAATAAACCTTGTTTCATAAATTATAGTTTTGACTTTAAGATCGGGAGATGGACAGATAGCTAGAGCATGTTTTGTAATCAGATTAAACTTAACGAAAATCCTACGAGGAAGTAGAATCTTTGCATTCCGTGATTTTACCTTTTTTTCTTCCTATTTGCATTCAGTTGCTGTTCCTTGTTTTTGGGTTACTGGTGTTGAAATTTGGTGAAATTTCACTATTTTTAAGATATCATCTTTGAAAGTTCTTCAAGTATTTCCTTGAGGTTCCTGTTATCTTGAGGAGGCTCTATCAAGTGAGCTAGTGAATAAGAAAGGTTCTAGCAATCTTTACGGGCTCTGAGAGAATATTTTGAGTTGAGCAGCATGGAGTCAACAATGCATTAAGATTGTTTTTATTTCGATTCTTGTTTTAAATAGTTGCAGGTAGTGTGGTGGGAATAGATAATAACTAAATAAACCACAATAGAAAGGTGGATGCTCTGTCCTAAAGGCTAATTTTTTACACTTTGGGTCACACATACACACAGTTTTGCGTACTTGATCCAACCGTAGAAAAATACGGTGACCGGTATAGACATGTCAAAACGGCCGGCTGGGCGCCAGCCTGCAGCCCGCTGAAATCCGCAGTTTGGCGGGCCGGGGCCGACATCCTGACGGGTCTTCAAAATGCCAGTTCGGCCCACCCTATAATAATAATAATATTAAAAAAAATAAATAAAGACAACTCGAAGCTGGTCCATTCATAGATCATAGTTCATCCCCAAAATCACAAATACGCGGAATATTCATTCCATTAATTAAAAGAAAAAGGCCTAAATAAAACTTGCTTCAGCTTCTTCTCGGCTACCTCCTATAACAAACCCTAGGCTGCATTCATTCTACCTTCCCTAAAGAACTCATAAACCAAATACCCTTAAGTCATGCAATTCGGTTTCATAAATAGATCCGCGGCAGAGACAGGTTCGCGAGGTAGGCGGACCTACGGCGACGTCGGAGTTGCATGAGCGATAGCATAACCCGAGCAGCATCGGAAATAAAAGTAGACGAGTGGTGGTGGATCTACGGCGGCAGTCAGCAGATCTAGAGGCAGAGACATATCGAAGGCAAATAGTGGCGCATTGGTTGCAGCCGTCCAGGTCCAGGGTGATAGATAGCCCGCGACCTGCTTGGCCCCCCGCCAAAGCCCGCGGCCCGCACGGGCTGCCATGTTTAGGCCCGCTTTTTTTTTGGCCTTCAAAAGCGTGGCCCGACCCACCCTTTTGGCGGGGCGGGAGAGGCGAGCCTTAGCCCATTTTGACATGGCTATACCGATAGCTTGAAATTTGTCCAAGATAAAGATATGCAAAACAAGTATAATCTCATGTAGTGTGATTTAAATTATTTTCAGTACGTCCTATTTGGTGTAGAGAAGTTTGAAATGAAGTGATATTTTTGTCACTTTATTGATAAGTCATGATTAGAGTTGCAAATGAACCGAGACGAGTTGAACATTGACCTCCTCGAGCAGGGATCAAATTATTTTTGCATTGCTCGAGTTCGTGCTTGAGCTTGTCGAGCCATGATTTTCGAGGCTCGACACGACTTGCCAGAAGAACAAGATTGCTTGAGCTCTGTTCAAGACAGATTGAAATTTCGAAGCTCGAAAAATTGTTCGAGAGTCGGCCTGAATAATTAATAGAAATTAAGGTTCAAAATTTCCAAAAAAAATTATTACTTAATTCCATAACAAAACTGAGTAAATATAACTGTCGTTCTTTCTAGAAGCAAAGGACATTATGACTTTTAAATAAATGATAAAAACAAATGTTACACATTAAACTTTCAAACAAATCTTCATCATTAAACTGAGTACAACCAACAAATATCCAAGGGTTCATCATATCACAAAATTAACAATCATAAAAACAAATGTTCAACATGTCTAGTAAACTAAGAATGCATCCATGTGTTCGTCAATCCAAATTATCCCTGCAAGTTGCACACATAAAAACCTTACAAGTTGGAACTTTTAGAATGATACTAAATATTGAACTTCCAAACAAAAAACATTGAACTTCCAGAATATAAAAAA